CCACGTTTTATATCATTTCGTTATCCATTAAAAAGTTCAATTGAAAAGGATCTCGATACATTTTTTGGTAAAGAAGGAGAATTATTTTCTTCAATTTTATTAACTGATGTGAAATCAATGTTAACTAATCTTGGAACAAAATTAAAGTCTATTTCACAAGATAAAACCGGTATCAATGATTATTCCACATAGTTCTCATTAACTTTTCGATAAGAAAATCGTCTATTAGTTGTTTCATGTGTACGTAAAATTGAAATTCCAGTCAATATACAAATAATAAAAAAACATTATTTGAACATCATATAAAAATTGTTGGTTTTGATGAAAAAAGTTTGGTCTTACAATCATTAAGATTACCAAATTGTTCAATAGTACGTGAACATGATGAAAATGATTTATCAATTTTTAGTTAAAGGTGGAGAAGAGATTCGACCAGATCAAAGTATTGAAGCATTATTTTCAATAATGAATGATCTTTGTCATGATGATGCAAATTGTAACCAATCTAATTCGACACAAATGTCCATTCGAACTTATAAAGATTGAGAATATATCTTAATTTTGGCATTATTTTGTTTCTTTAAAATTATTTCAATGTCAACAAAATTAGATATAGTTGAATGGCTTGATAATACTCGACCATTGAAAGAATTAATTGAAGAAAGTTATACAAATTCTGAACGTGATATTATCACTCAAGGTCAGCATTCAAGAAAACTTTATCAAGAATATGTTATCAATGACTTACAAAGTCTAAACCAACTGCTAAATCAATAAGCAATACGATAATGTATGCAGAAGTATTTGTTAGTTTAAGGCCCCCTCAAAAAAAGTCAATTTTCGTCAAAAATTCCGAAATTGAGATAAATACATGGGGAGATAGCTCGTCATCTGGTCTTTCTTAAACGATAATTTGTTTTTCTCGTTACTTTATTTTTCCCAAAAAATGTTCGAGATCCTTTTCAATTGAACTTTTTAATGGATAACGAAATGATATAAAACGTGGTTTTAATAAACGAGGGTGTTGGTGTGGTTGTAGTTACAGAATAATACCAAACCCACACCCACACCCCTAGTTTTCAAGTACTATGGCAAGACAATCATTATTATCTTCTGTTGATTAAAGAATCATTGCTGATCAAGCCTTATGAACCTGAACTTAACAAAACAACACACTCAGTACCATTATTTATCTTTCCTGATGGTCTACCAAAATTTCAGTTACCTAATCTTGATCACTAATGAAACTTGAAATTGTTAGTAATGTCGTTGTTGTCTCCTTTTCACCTCTGTACCTTTCTGTTCTCTTCTTCTTTCTTCTTTCTTTTTCTTCTATTCTCTTTGCACAATTTCCTTAAGATCTGAATAAATCTTGAAAATGATGACATAAATCATCGAAACGTCGAATTATTGTCTTTTTTTCGAAAATAAAGCTTTACAATGTTATACAAAGCCGCTGTTATTTTTTCATCTATCATAAATAATCAGCAGAATCTTATGTTGTGCCACTTCAATCTGATTACCAACTTCATGTTTTTGTGAATATTATTCTATGTGCACCTGTTCGTGCTGTTCATTATTCGTCGACAGTAAAAGAATTAAATCATGAACGACCTGCTCTAAAACTGATGCTACTTTTATAATGTGTTTGTTCACAATTTTATTCTATCTAAAAATAGTCTTGACTTCTCTTTGCATTTTTAGCTACCCTACGTGATACATGTATAATCAATGCAATGAATTCTTCTCTAAATACAGCGTAATATCAACATCTATCATACCTACGATATACGACAAAAATAATTTTTTTCTTTCACGACACCAATTGCTAGATCAGCCAACGGCTAATGAGCAACGATAAGTACAGCGTATTCCAGTACCATTGATTATAGCACTTTTGATAAGAACATTGATCCTCTACTTAACGCTAAATTATTGAGAAGCCGATATCGAGCTAATTCAATTGTAACCCACTACACACATGAACAACGTTTTTTTGTATTAGAAGAAGTCCATTCATCAAATATGGAATGATATACTGATAAACATCAATACTAACTACAAAACTTATCATCGGTACTCGCAAAAATCGAAAGCATAGCAGAAAATGCGTACCCAAAAGCCCATATATCAAGAAACGAAACAACAGTCACAGAATAACAATGAGCTGAAAGTTCTATCGACCGAACCATTGATTATACACTTTCTCTTTTACTTTGTAGCATTCATATAAAAGTACCCATATTATCCTACAACATAAGATGCAGAAAAGAACAATTTCTTCTTGTCATTCATTTTCTTTGATTAATCTTGAATCACCCTGTTATTCTAGGTGATAATATAATAAGTTTCAAAATAAGCACGAGCAGCAACAAAGAAAAAACGTCTAACTAAAAAATATATAAGCAGCGTCGACAAATCCAAAATCACACGGTAATTCATTCATCCTCTGTGCTCTCATTGGAAGAGTTTTTATTCTCGACTTCAAAACCAATCTGGGTTTTAGCATTAGAGATTCATACTATCTAAATATAATATCTATCATCTTCAACATTAGATTCTTGGAGATATTTTGTTTGAAGTTCTGCATAGATAAATACATTTCGTTTATGATTCAATTTTATATTAGATCATTTAAAGCCCCCTCCCCCCAGATTTTCGAGATTTGAACCCATATCGTAGCTAGCATTGAAGTTAGTGTGATCTTGCATTTTAGGGCATCCTGAATGCTGTTTTATAGAGAGTATCTGTTAAAAGGCAGATACCGCAAAGTACATAAAATAGGCGAACATCATTAATGAAACCATATGAGGAAAATATATGTTTTAAATTGACGATCTAGTTATATTCAGTAGTTATCATATAATTATACAATGTTATGTATTTAGTATATATTACAGGCCATTCGGACTTCTTAAAGTTCTTGAGGCTATAATAATAGCAGAAACTTAGGCCCTGTATAGTGAAAAATAGGCACTAGCCAGTAATGCAATTCGTTTCCCAGAGTTTCCCGAAACTTTAATTCAAGCTTTAGTTTGTTATCTGGTAGAGCATATCATCGTTTATCTTTAGTGGATGCATAAAGATGCACCATTGAACTCTTGTTGAGATATTTGACTTTTGCGGTATTTTGTAGCACAACACCATGATCCCCCCTGATTCACCTGAAAAATCAACTTCAGAATTTCGACTTGAAACTTTGCGCCAAGAAAGGTCTCAATGAGACTAGTTATTCCTCAAAGTTTCAGATTTCTTGGTTGCTCCTATCCTTAAATATGAACATTTCACATTTTGTGCTATAAGCGATGTGAATAGGAATATTTTTTCCTAGACTCGCTCACGAAATAGAAGCAACCGAAAAATCCAAAACTTTCAGAATAAACTAGTCTCATTGACATCTTTCTCTGGGCAAATTTTCAAGTTGAAATTCGAAAATTGATTTCCAGGTGAACCTGAGGGGAACCACGCCTTTTTTGCTAAAAAATACCTTGAGAATTAAATATCTCGACAGAAATAAGCTATAAACACGAACTCTTTTCAGGATATTCATAGCTCATTAGAGCCTACATAATGCGCATAGTCTCGATTCAAAAGCTATTTCGCAACTGGAAATTGCTCTTGATCCCCTTTTTCTGCCCACTGTGCCGCCCTCCAAAATCGATTTTCGATACCGTGCATTTGATCTCCCTGAAACTTTTTACAAATGTTGGGCCCATGAAAGTAAATTTACGAAATTTTGTTTTAGCTCTTCAAACCTCAGCGTTCAGGAGTTTTCGGAAAAATCAAGATCGAAAATGGGCCCTCACCCCTTACAAATTCTATTTCACTATACTTCAAGATACACGATCAACGAATGCCTTTTGTGAAAGAGAATTGTTTGCTTCTTTGGATGAGAGGAGGGATTTTTTAATTATGTCTTTCTTTAAGTTTGGGAAGGTCAAAATCTCTATAACCTGGAAAAAACCATCAGAGGCTTCTCACACAGATAAGGTTTTCTAACGAGCTAGGAGGTATTTTAAAAATTCCTTCCCCTCATTCGAAGAAGCATCAATCGCTCTATTAAACAAAAAAATCGCAGCTCTTTATAACGAACTATGTTTGAAAAGAATTTTTACGGAGTTTCTTCAATAGTACAAAAACCAGTTTTGAGAAAAATGAAAAAACTTTTTTCTGCTTTTCATCCAGTTATCATGGGACATCCAGACAAAATATGACCATATCTTACATCAATCGCTAAAATTAATTGAGGCGCGCGGCATTGTACTGCTAGTGACCATATAATCAATAACAAAATGTAGTTTGCCACAATATTTCTTCAATTTTTATCTACATTCGTTAAAGAATACTATCATAGAAGACCACCGAATCTTTTAGTAGATCTCATTGAAACCTTTCGAATTTGAAAAATTTTTCTATCAATATTTAAAGTAAACACTTTAGGCAACATCCTAGCATACTTAGCTCAAAAGCTGTTTTTTTTCACGAAAATAGAATTTTCGGAGGGAGAAGGTCTTAAACAATTACGATAGAATCAAAGCCAGCTGATGATTGTCTCTTTTCAAGAAACATGAAATCTGGCTCCTAACATCCAAAACTTACGTTTGAGTGTTCTCACACTATTCATTTCGGGTAATAGCAGAGCAGTTTTTTCGTCTTTGTGATGGAGTTCAAGCATTCAATGATCTGTTGTTATCAGACAGCAGTGAGTCCAGTAGTGGTTGCTCGTGATGGGCATATATGATTCTTTCCCTATCTTGTCCGTATTCATGATGATTATATGTTGTCGATTCTATTGATGATTTAATGTGCAAAAGTAAATAAATATAAGATTATTGCGTCATAGTAGATCCGGCGTTCTTCTTCTTTATTTTGAACTACTCGAACTTATGATATAGTATCTTTGAAAATTGATAATCCATCTGATGATGCTCTGATAAAACAGAAACAAACGCCTATTTGTTGTGGAACGGTCAATACTCTATTCACACACGCACAGCCTTGCTTTTGGATTATTTTTATTTAAGCACATTTGTTTATTATCATTTTATTATTAATTAATTTTTGACCAAGTCGATTGCTGAAAAGCAAGAGTTGAGATTGGCCAATTGATATGTATGATAGACAAATAGGTCAGTCTGTTTTCAATTGATTTAACTAGACCCACAGTCGTATATTGATATAAAATATTTATT